TGCTACACCCTGCGCTCTCTCCGTCCTTCGCCTCCATTGGAAATATAATATAAAAAGTTTTGATTGGTAGTTCATCAGTCTGTACATCCCTGAATATAATTTTAAAAAATTAACTATAAGCAAGTGATTAAAAGGACATATTTATTTCTTTGTGTCCTTTAGGAATCTCTGAGACATGAAATCCTTCAGACTGTGAGAACGACTTTTATATCCTGTGAAAGAACCTGATCCACCAAGTCTCTCGATACTTCTGGACATTTATTTAGTATAACTTGTCCTCCATGGATCATCCATGTCCATTTTAAAGGATTCCCAGACCTTTCAGAATTTTTAACTTGAGGTTTTCCTACATGTTGTTTGAACATTAATAAAGAACTGATGTTCTGCTTTAAATTCATTCCCGTATTTTAAACATTAATTTTAAACAAATGGCTTCATCAGCCAGGGTAATCAGAAACAGTGCCTGGTTTTACAACTGTACCAACTTTCATGCTTTTCAAGGCACCAATAATTGTACATTTTTACTAAACCTGGCTAATTTAGCAATACACTATGCAGACATCTTATTAGACTGGGACCACAAAGCCGGTGATCATTGTAATATTCACAAGAAAGTACTGTAAAAAGGTTGCGGTAGTACTTTAAAATTCAAAAATACTTTATCAGAAAGGGAAATTAAATTATGTTGTAATGTCATTAATTCAGATTCTTCAAAGAGTTATTGTAGATGGTGGTGGCTGTTGGCAGGAAAGATCTCTGGTGCAGTCTGTATTACAGCGAATCTGAAGACACACTGTTTTCTCAGACAGTCTCATGAAGAGGATGCTCAGGGTTATCCATAACTCTCTGGATTTTATGAAGAATCCTTCTTCGCACCATTATCTCCAGAGGCTCTACAGTCGTCCCAGAACAGAATCAGCCTTCTTTTTCTGGCCACAGCTCTATCTAAACTATACCAGTGACTTTGAGTAGGACAGAGATTAGCTTTATGCAATTCAAGCTTGTTGCAGCTGATGACTTCACAAAAGTAAACTACCAGCTAGGGCTGGGCAACTCCAGGCCTGGAGGGCCGGTCTCCTGCAACTTTTAGATTTGTCTCAACTTCAACACACCTGAGTCAAATAATGAGGTCGTTAGCAGGACTCTGGAGAACCTGACTGCACTTGGGAAGTGATTCAGCTGTTGGATTCAAGTGTGTTGGACCAGGGAGACATCTAAGAGTTGCAGGACACTGGCCCTCGAGGACCAGGATTGCCCAACCCTGCAATGATCCTCAAATCCAGGCTTTGAGGTGTGGTGTCCTGCAGCTTTTAGATGAGTCTCTCCTTCATAGTGATGGGCAAATGAAGCCTCATGAAGCAATGAACCTTTCCAGCCCTTTGCTTTGCAGAAAGGTTCGATACTCGATGCTTCATTCATTGCTCTATAGTGACATCTGCTGGTGAAACTGTAACAGTCTTGTCAC